TCTGAGCACAGGTGAGCATTTCACATTACTCTTTGGGGTAGAATAGTTTCTTTGCCTTAGTATCCTTCTCTGAAGTGGAACCCCAGTATTCTCTATTCCTATAGTAATTCTTTTGTTTTTCTCCTTTATTTGTTTATTTATTCATTTTTTAATTTGTAGAAGCTTAGTTTTATAAATGCCTCTAGTCCTGGAGTATGGGGAATGGTGCCTCTAGCCTCAGATTCTCCTTCAGTTCTCCTCTCTGCCAAGCAACTAAAACTATGACCTACAGCCTCCTGTAAGTGCTCCCAGCCAGCAGTGTCCCTGTCCCACTACTTCTGAATTCACTGGGCATCTGCTGGTTCCTTCTTGCCCCCAGCCATGTCTACACAGTACAGCTGGGTCTGGCATTTCTTGTCAGCAGAGGCTCCCTCAATCTTCCCTGGCTCAGACTACCCTCACTGTCCCTGGAGTAAAAGTTTCTGTGGCTGGGGCCAAGGCAGACTCCCAACCTAGCTAACCCCAGGCCTTGTTGCTGGTTGTTAAAGTGGATTTAGCCTGAAGGTATTTACTCTTTACAGGAACCAAACCTTGTCCTGGGATTTTTCTCCAGATCTCAGATTGTACTAGAAGGACTACTGTTCTCCCCCTACTCTTACTTTATTTTTACCTCTCAATGTTCACACTGAGGGACTATTTTATCTTTTTGTGGAAGAAATATGGAGAGCTTGGAATTTTCTGACCTACTCCACCATCTTCCCAGAATCCTCTCCCCCAAGTTAATTTTTTAAGGAGTTGTTTTCAGTTAGTTTTTGTGCTTCCCTTTCCAAGCTGTTGACTCTTTTTTCATAATTCTACTGCATAATTCTCATTTCTTTTTCCAATTTTTATTCTACCTCTCTTACATGATTTTTAAAATCCCTTTTGAGCTCTTTCAAGAGGACTTTTTGGGCTTGAGACCAATTCATACTCTCCTTTGAGCCTTCAAATGCAGGCATTTTGGCATTGTTACCCTCTTCTGAATTTGTGTTTTGATCTTCCCTGTTGCCATAGTTATATAGTAGCTTTCTATGGTCAAGGCTCTTTTTTTTTTCTCATTTTTTAAAGTTAAGCTCTGTTCTTGGGGCACAGGGGCCACTGTCCTAAGCTTCTTGTGCTGGGGACCTGGGGCCTGGTCACTGGCTTTCTGTACTGGGGCCTTGGATGCCCATGGGCTCTCTGTGCTAGGATAGCCCAGCCTTCTGGACTGGGGCTGGAGGCTTCACAGCCTGAAGCATAGTCAGCTGTGCCACTAGCCTCCTGAGCCAGGATAGAGGAGCCTTGGTTGCTGATCTGTGCTGTGGCTAAGAGCCTGCCACTGGCTTGCTCACATACTGTCTGAGTTGGGCTGTGCTCCTCTATTACCCAAGTGAGAAAGACGTTTCCTGAAGTCCTTCTAAATTATCTTACACTGATTAAAAAATCATCTTTTTGTGGGTTCTTGTACTACAGTATCTGTTTAGAGGCTTGATTTAATGTTGTTTCTGAGGGAAACTGGAGAGAGCTCAGGCAACTCCTTGCTTTCTCTGTGCCATCTTCTCCCAATTTTTTAGTGTCCCAACTTTTCCACATCCCCTCCAACATTCGTTACTTTCCCCTTCTATCATTTTGGCAAAACTGGTCAGTTTTAAAACCCTATCTCAGGGTTATTTTAATTTGCATTTCTCTAATCAATAATGATTTAGAGCATTTTTTCCCATCACTATAATTTGTTTTGATTTCTTCATAAAAAAACTGCCTGTTAATATCCTTTGACCATTTATCAATTGGGAAATGACTTGTATTCTTAAAGATTTGCCAAATTCTTTATGTGTTTTAGATATGAAATTTTTATATAAAATTTCCCCCCAATTTTCTGCTTTCCTTTCCACAAATGTGTTTTATTTTATAAACCTGTTTTAATTTAATGTAATCAAAATGATTATCTTGGCTATCTTTTCCTATCTTTGCTCTCTATCTCTTGTTTATTCATAATTGTTCACCTATCCATAAGTCTGACAAGTAATATGTTCCGTGTTCTAATTTTCTTGCAAAATCCATCATGTATCTATTTTGACCTCATCTTGGTAAATGGTGTAAGATTTAGGTCTATGCCTGGTTTCCATACTGCTTTTCAGCTTTCCCAACAATGTTTTTTTTTTTACCAAATAATGAATTCTTATCACTTTTGCTCTATACATATCAAATTTCTTATCCATGTTATGAAATCATTAAACTACGTGATCTCCAAGAAAGTACTACTTCCCAGGGCATACGCTGCATCAAATTACAAGCTTCTTGCATTGCAGAGCTTTCTACAAAGTCTCTTCTATCCACCTTTCCCTGACTGGAGAAGGAAGAAACACACAGGACCACTCCTGCCACTGAAGATTTAAGGAAAAAAATCCCACCATCCCAAGTCACAAATTTTCTGAGATTAGAGGCCTCCACTGCAGCTTTCTCTGAAGTACCATTCCAAAGGATTTGAGTGCAAATCCCATCTCAGAAACTTACTAGCTGTGGTCCCCTTGTCAAGTCACTTAACCCTTGTTTGCCTCTCTTTAAATGTAAAATTGGGACCATGGAGAAGGATATGGCACACCAATCCAGTACCTTTGCCAAGAAAACATCATAAAAATGGGGTCATGAAGAGTCAGACATGACTAAATGATGTAACAACAATGACAATTCTTGGAGCTTGTATGAATTGAGATACATACACACACACACACACACACACACACACACATTTGTCTCTTCAAGAAACAGTAAAACCATGAATTATGTCCTAGAGGTGACTGACAATTTCACTCATTATACACAGTGAGAAATCAGAGGATTACTACCATTGCTAATGTGCTGTGGGAAAAGTATTTGAAGTATGACTTGACAGTCAGAATTCACTCTGATCAATGTAAACTTGGAAAACAAATTAGTCAATGAGATGTTGGCTTTAATAGGAATCAAGAAATCTAGAATGAGCCCTTACCATGCTCGAGGAGATCTACAGCCTAAGCATTTCAACCACAACTTACTAGACATGTAAAAGCATCAAAATTTGAGCAGAAGTCAACACATATCAATTTTAAGCATGTAGCCACTGTTACATGCAATGGTGCCTTAAAGCTTACACCTTACTTGTTAACATTTGGAAGACAAACATCCTTCCTTGCCTATTCACTTGAGCTTTAGATTTCAAGATAAAGAAGAGGATAAGTCATCATAAACCAATGCGTCTTATTTAGGGAATAGGCTGAAAGAACATTATTGACAAGCAATGGCATAGCTTAAAAAACTGCTAATGGAAAACAAACAAAAAAACTACACAATGTCAAGATCTGTATACAAGTGACAGAATTTGGGGAAAGAACCTTTTGTGGTATGGTCATGTACAAAGATAAGTAGGTGATTATTCCAGTTTAAAACCTCTCTCTCCAGTGTAGAAAGGTTTTTGATATTGAATAATGATAACTTAAATAAAAATTATTTCTAGCAGACTTGCGTCTAAAACATACAATATAGTAATTCTTTTCCTCAGTAAGACTGGGATGTAAGGAGCTTAAAGTGCCACTCACAGGTACTTATATTTCATCCTAGAGGCAATAGGGAGCCACTGTAGTTTTTGACTGGTGAAACAGACAGATGTGTTTTAGGAATATCACTGATAGCAGCAATGAGGTGGATAGATTGGAGAAGTAAGGGATTTGAAGCGTAGAAATGAATTAGGAGGCTCTTGGCTATCCAGATGAGTAGAAGGATATGAGAAAGTGAAGTTTGGGGTCATTGTAGCAATATAGAGCAGGATATAGAGGTGAGCACCTCTGTGGAGGTAGAAACATCAAGATTAGGCAACTGACTGCATATGTGAACTGAGGGAAAAACATAACAAAAATTTACCAATTGCATGCATTCTCTTTGTTGCCAGTGATAGTCTTTCAATCCTCTTCAAGGAAAGTCCTCACTCTAGATCTTGCTTTCTTCAAATATAGCCTAAACAAACAAACAAACAAACAAAATCGACTTTGTTGACCTTAGATACAACAAAAGAGAGAACACTTCAGCTTTCTAATTTTCTGGGTTCTCTCTAAAGAGCTCAAGTGCTGCATATATGGGGCTGCTAGGTGAGGCAGTGAACAGGGTTTTTGGACCTGGAATCAGGGAGAAACATCTTCCTGAGTTCAAATTTGCCCTCAGACACTTACTGGTTGTGTGACTCTGGGCAAGTCACTTTACCCCGTTTGCCTCAGTTCCTCATCCATAAAATGAGCTGGAGAAGAAAATGACAAACCACTCCAGTATCTTTACCAAGAAAATCTCATGTGTGGTCAAGAAGTGTGGAAGGCGACTGAACAGCTTCTTTAGACATACATGTTGTTCCATAAGCAACTACTGTTAGGCTAAATACTGAGGATATAAAGTTTCTTTCAAAGCTCAACACAAAGTCTACCTCCTATCTAGTTCTAGAAATGTTAGTTACAGCAACAGGGAAGAGTACCAAATTAGAAGGATCCCATTATGAGAGGAGACAGGGTGATCTATACTTTAGGAAAGAACTGATCATTGGATCACAGATGCAGAGCTGAAATGGTAGGGGAGGAAACAACGATTTATTAAGCAGCTTGAAATTCAATTCAACTAACTTTTATTAAACCCTACTATGGTAGGCATTGTATAATGCTTTACAAATATTATCTGCGAAAAGTCAGGCGACACAGAGGCAATTTAGTCTAATTTCTATCCTGCATTTTACAGATGAGAAAAGTGAAGCCTATGGAGGTTAAGTGACTTGCCCTAAGATGATACTTGTAATGCCTGTCATAGGTAGGATTTGAATCCAGGACCTCTGATTCTAAGTCACTAGATGGATGTAGTCTGAAGGTTCTGCTGGAAGAAGGAAAATGCAAATATCTGATTGGGGAAGGGTGTGTCATACAGGCTCTCATCCTCTGGTCCCGGCTCCTCCCACCAGGCACAGGGAGTAGTCCAGACAAAAAAAAAGCAAACAGTCAAAAAAAAAAAAAAGACTGGCACCTCAGTCCAATCAAGCTCCTCCTCCCTCCCCTTTCTCAAGTGGTCTAGCAGAAGATGCAAAGGTGCTAGTGCGGTGCTGGGTCTTGGCTCTTACTTGCACTCTCTTTTCTGTTTAGTCCCACTTAGTCTGAGGCAGGGCAGCGGACTGGGCTGAGATGGCCGACACAGTCCGCTGCCGGCTGCTTCTGCACTTGGAGCACCTGACTTCGGGGGAGCTGAAGAAATTCAAGTTGTATCTGGTGAACTCTCTGCCTCGGGGCTCCCTGGAGGAGGCTGATCGCCCAGAACTGGCCGATCTCCTGGTCAATTCTCTTGGGCAGCAAGAGGCCTGGGAGCAGGCTCTGCGCATCTGGCAGAATATGGGCCTGAGGGAGCTGTGGGAGCGAGCCAAGAAGGGTAAGTGCCTGCCTGAGGACTGGGGCTTCCCCCTCCTGCTTGCACAACTTCCCCCTCCCCTCCCCACTCCCGAAGTTCCCTTTGTCCTTCTTTCCTCTCTTCCCTCCATTCTCCCTTGCTCCTTCCTTACTTTCCGTCCTCCCTCTTTCTTTCCTTGGAATTCTCTTCTAGGGCTTCTCCCAAACCATATTTATTATAAGTAGTTTCCCTCTAAAGAATGTAAGCTTTCTTCAGAGCAGGTACTATGTCATTTTTATGTTTGTATCCTCAGCACCTAGCCCAGTGTTTGGCCTGTCAAAGGCACTTAATAAAGGCTTATGGAATAATTTCTGATTTTAGAGTAAGAGGATTCCATTGGGATACATGACACAGGGCTGAGATAGGGAGGGGGAGGTCACCTCTATGTTTTTTCATAAGTCTAGCTGGGAGAAGTGGATTTCAGTTTCTGTTTCCTGATACTGTAGGGGAAGAACATCTGGGCCATGAGGAGAGTTTGCTGGTGGGAAGAGAATGTTCAGACGGTGCCAGTAGGTGGGGGAAGGAATTTAAGAGAAAGGCAGATGGTAGATCTGGGAGAATGGAGTTAATGGAGGAGATTTCAGCTGTGGTCTCAGCTGCTGAAAGGAGAAACAGAGGATGAGGACCAGTGGAGAAAGGAGGAGATGAAATGAATTGGGTCAGGCTTTGATCAAGTATTGTAACTCAGCACAAGGAAAATGTCCCAGGAAGAGAATGATTAGATTACTGAATTTAAGACAATTTCCTGGAGTCTGTGCTGAGTCAGGAGCAAGAATAGAAGTCCTTTTTTTTTTTAATGGGTTCAAAATATTAAGAAGTCAATCAGATGGCAAGGTCAATAGCAAGGATGAGAAAGAATTTCATTCTATTGTTTATTTAATAACTCTTTGTGATCTAATATGGGGTTTTTGTGGCAAAGATATTGGAGTTTCCCATTTTTTTCTCTACCTCATTTTACAGATGAGAAAACTGAGGCCAATGGGGTTGAGTGACTTACCCAGGGGTCACACAGCTAGTAAGTGTCTAAGGCCAGATTTGAACTCAGGAAGATGAGTCTTACTGACTCCGGTCCAGCCCTCTATCTATTGGGTCACCTATCTGCCAAAAATCTTAACGGATCATTATCAAAAAGTCACCCCATAGTCACGCAGAGATTTCAGAGCTGGCCCATACTCTGCACGCTATGCCCATTCCCATCTAGGAGTTGATATTCAGGTACCCTGGATTCGGGAGGAGGGAAGAAACAGGAAATACCACAAAATTGTCATTTAAAGTTCTGAAGTGGAGGGGGCAGCTAGGTGGCCCAGTGGATAGAGCACTGGCCTTGGATTCAGGAAGACCTGAGTTCAAATACAACCTTGATACGTGACACTTACTAGCTGTGTTCCTGGGCAAGTCACTTAACCTCGTTACCTAGCCCCCAAAAAAGTTCTGAAGTGGAGACAGTGAAGTAGGATCTTTGAAACAGTGCTGTGATATTTGGGACCCTATCTCCCACTAGGTTTCTCAGACTAGTTCAACCTTACCAGGAAACAGAGGTCTAAACCACAAGCTCTCTGTGCACTTAAAACTTCCTCTAAGAACGCTGGGGTGTGGTGAACAGTTTTGCCACTTAGTATCAGTGTCCAGTTTGAACATCTGAAGTCAGTCATTAAAAAAGTTAAAAGTCTCCACCTATTCACTTAGAATTCAAAACATGAACCAACAGGATAACAACATTAAGCTAAACTTCTACTCAGCTGGAGATAAGAGGGCCTTAGATCCTTTCCTTTCCTCCACCTGGGCAATGCAGAAGATCTTCCCACTCCCTTGACACCCAGATCAAATCTTTCCAAAAGTCTTCTGTAATCCATTAGGCTGCAGAGATCTCTCCTCCTGAACTCCTAGTTATCTATGTGCCTTTAGTATGGCAGTGCCTGGCACATAGTCAGTGCTTAATAAAATTCTTGTTGCTTAATTGATTCACTGTATCATTTGGTTAACCTTTCAAAGCTTACATATCATATTACTGTGTTTGTATCATTCAACAAGCCTTTATTTGTGGAGTTTGTGGTGCTGAGACTCAGCATATTTCATTCCAATGCCTCAGGGCTGGAACTGAAATCTCCTTCTTAATGTTGTTCTCCAGCTCTGTTACTACTCTCAGCTCCCAACTATCTACTTATACAACAGATAGATCTCTTATTATCTTCTGCTTTTCTTTCCTACAGAGGATCTTGGATTTGTTGCTGCTCCAGTTCTTCCAGCCTCCTCAGGTCAGTAACCACTGTCAATGTATAAGTCTAGGCTGGGTTAGCTGTTTTATTTGTTTTTGTTTTTGTTTTTCCATCTGTCATCCTGGACTCAGATTGTTTAGTGATGGAGTCCCATCAATAAAATTTAAGAGGATGTGTTGCAGGAACCTGGACTATTTCCCCAACCCTTGAGTGAATTAAAATCTTATGGGTTATAGCAGATAATATACCTACTAGAAAGGCAAAATGGAAAAATACTGGCTGTGCCCTTGTTTAGTAATAGGGTGAAATAGTTGGACCTACACTGTATTGATCGTAAAGGTAAATAGAGAATTGCTGGAATTTTAAGGAAAATGACACGATCAGATCTGCGCTTTAGGAATGTCACTTTTGTAGTAGTATGGTAGATGTAAAGGGAAAAGATTTGAAATGAGATGCTAATAATTAGGAGGCTAATAGAACAGGAGAGAGGTACTGTACTCTCAAATCCAGTGACACTGACCTAGCTTTTTCCAGGAATAAGACACTCCATCTCTAGCTTCTTGGAATTTTCTCTGGCTGTCCCCCATGCCCGGAATACTCTTCCCTCATCATCTCCTCCTACTGGTTTCCCTGGCTTGCTTTAAGTTCTAACTAAAATATCATCTTTTACACTAAGGTTTTTCTGACACCTCTTAATGCTAGTGCCTTCCCTTTCTTAATTATCTTCTACTTAGCTTGTGTGTAGCTCATTTGTACATATTGGTTTGCTAACTTCCCCAACTAGATTATGAATTCTCTGAGGGAAAGGACTGTCTTTTGCTTTTTTGTGTGTGTCCTCAGTGCTTAGCATAGTGCTTGACATATATGGACACATAATACATTTTTATTGATCAATTCATAAATATTCTTATATACATATGTATAATATGGACATGCAGTACACACGTAAACCCTGGAAATATATGAAAATATACATTTACACCAATATATACAAGTTCACTCATGGGCTCCCAGAAAGCCATTCCAAGTTCTAGGTACTTTGTGGTTCATACTATTTTGCAAACTATAGCTTTTGACTCTTCCATCATCAGTGGAGTTTGCTTTTACTAATCATCAAAATTACATACTTACTTTATATCAAAATCACTCAAAGAAGTAAGGTAGAGTAAGTACATCAAAAATGTGGCCCTCAGGTTGCATGCAGCCCACAATACTCTGAATACAGCTTGAAACAGATTAAAATGGTATTAGAAAATATTTAAGTAAATAAATGAAAATCTAACAAAATATAGATATTATATTTTAAAATCAAGCTGTAGAGATCCTTATGTACAGATTAGTTGCCTCCATTTCTATTTGAGTTTAACACCACTAATGGAGAGGAATTCATTCTCCTACAAACACACATCCTCAGTCAGAAGAGTAGAAATGCCAAATAATTGTACATGGCATATATACACATGGGGACATATTTGATCAGAGCACATGTATTGAGGGTAGTCAGCATTACCAATGCTAAGACCTACTTGTGTCTTCTGGATGTATCACTGATAGATGTAGTACTACTCTCTGCCAGATCCCCCCTGTCTGGTGCCATGTCTTCAGGGCACCTTAGTGAGTAGCATAGTTCCACTTTAGCTGATTTTCAACTCTCCAGCTATCATTCTGGCTACCTAATACAGTTTGGCCACGTAATACAGCATCTAGGTGGCACAATGGATAGGGTGCCAGACAGAAGAGAGTCACTAAATGGAAGAAATCCTCTGACTCTTAGTAGTCTTTTCCCTCTACCACCCCCGACAGTGTCAAAGCCATAATTGAACCCAGATCTCTCCTGACTCTGTGTCTAATGCTGCATTTCTAGAGTTGCTTTTCTCTTCTATTACTGCTTTACCCTTACACCTTTCATTGTGCCCCCCCCAAAAAAATATAGCATAAAGTAACAAGAACATGAGGCATACACAGAATCTACTCTTTCTCCAGCCTGTAAAAATATTGTCAATATGGTTAGGATCAGTTTATGTCATCCTTGCCTCTGACGTAGCAGCCATTATAATAAACTCAGGTTCTGAAATTCCCTGGGGAATTGTAGAGTGTGCAGGGGGGCAGGAGAAGATCTTGGAGATGGGGGATAAGGGATGTCTAATTATCACAAGCCCTTGAACTCAGACTATAGTAATACAAACTCTCAGGGGTGATATGCCCTTGCTAGGTGTTTTTTTTTCTTTTTTTTTGTGGGGGGCGGATTTAATCTCACTTTCTCTTCTGGGCCTCGGAGAATTGCTGCTTCATGATTCCTCATGAACCATGGTTGATCCATAGACAGGGCTTGGTTTTCATTTGCGATTTTCTGGTTTCCCTGTGGGATTTGTAGTTACTTCTTTCTACCCTTATGTTCCACATCAAGGGCTAAAGATTTTGTGTCTTAAATCCTGAGAAGAAAAATCTCCATATCCAAAAAGAAGTCCGGTCTGTGAGGGGGTTAACACATTGAGAAGAAGGTGCTTCAGAGGAAAATTTTCTCACAAACCTGACACCTTGTTCCTCTCTACAGGATCCCAGACAGGACAACTACTAGCTGTATCTAAAGTTGAAGTGTTTGAGAAAAATTCTCCTTCCTCTCCAGGTAACCAACGACAAAAAGTGTGCCCTGGGGCCATTTTCTGCTCAAAGTAAAACAAAACTAACAAAAACAAAATGAACAAGCCAACAAACAACCCCAAAGATAAGGATTACACAGATAATGGAGAGTTCTTTTTGGGAGCTCAAATTCTCCACCATCAAATCAAGCAAAGAATTATTAAGGAAAGGTGGTAGGGTTAGGGGTCAGATAAGAGTGGGAAAATTGCCTTTCATTCTTGGTGCTAAGAAAAAAACCTTTTTATCTCCTTGTCTGGTATAGAGATACATAGAAAGCCCCAAGACATAGCCACTAGGGGAGGGTTGTAGACAGTTCTCATTCACAATACCTGGAACACCAAGAGTGGGTGAGTCAACCAGGACAAAAAGCCATGATTTGGCTATATGAGTTTGCTGTAATTCTCCATGTTATACCTATTTTCTTTCTACATATTTTCTTCTTCCTCAGGAGTAATTCTTTTCCTTTGGCCAAAGTTTAAGCTTATGGTTCACCATAAGCTTACTGTTTTCCCCATTTGTAATCACACACTTTAATTCTCCCTGTTGTCTCTTTCTCCAATCCCAGCTGATATGTCCCGTATTCCTATATTTACCTTAATCCTACTTACCTCCAATCCTGCGCCAGATCTGCCTTCACCTTCTACTATGCTGTCTGGATTGTGTGTTCTATTATTAACGTCCTTAAAAACAAAACAAAACAAAACAAAACACAACATATCTTTTCCTTTCTCACTCCTTTCATCTTTTGGTACTCACTGAGATCTATCTCCATTCTGATGACAATGATTGCCAGAATGGATTCCTCACTTTCCCTTTACCGTCTGCAGTTGCTGTCTTTGCAGCAATAACTTAGTAACCTGAAAGAATGCTGTGAAAAGTTGCTGTTGTTCTCTTTATGGCCTTTTTTCTCAACTCTCACCCTTTTGCAGGCATTTGGTACTATCACCTTCTACTGGATTTTCTCTTTTCTTTTGTTTTTTATGACTACACTTTTTGGATTCTCCTTCTACCTTTTTGATCTCAATCTCCTTTAATGGATCTTCATCCAATTCAATTTCTAATGGTGGGTGTCCCCCAAGGCTTTGCCTTGCACCTTATTTTTCTTTAATCTCTACTTTATTAGTGATATTATCAGTTTTCCTGGACTCTCTTATCATTTCTAAACAATTGATTCTCGGACCTTTATAACCAGCTCTACTTTATTTTTTTCCCCCTTTAACCAACCTCTCTTTTCTGAACACCAGTCCCACTTCTCTACTTGCCTATTTGCAATTTCTATGAAGAAGTGTTTTAGGCATCTCAAACTAAACATATCTAAAACAGAATTCTTTGTATTTCTTCCCATACTCTCCCTTCTTGTGAACTCTCCTATTGAAAATATCACAATCTTCCCAGTCATCCAGGTTGGAAACTGGTATATTCCTCTGCTGCATATTCTTACTCACCCCATGTGTCCAAATCACTTGTCAATTCTTGTTATTTCTGTCTTTACAACATCTCTCATATATATTATCTTATTCTCATTGACAAAGCCAAAACCCAGCTCAAGTTCTTGTCCCCTCTCACTGGGACTATTGCAATTTTCTTCTACTTGGCCTCTCTGCTCTAAGTCTCTCACCACTCCTATTCATTCTTCACAGGGATGTCAAAGCTCCTTAAAGAAATGTACCGTTTTTGTGTTATTTCCTTTCTTTATGTCCTCAGGGCTTAACATAACATTTGTCTCAAAGAAAGCACTTAATAAATGCTTGTTGATTGATTGAATTCATGAAAATGAAAACTTATAAGGCCTTTTACTAGGGCACAAGAGGACCATAGCATATAGTAGGGATTCTCATGCAAGCAATATTAAATATCACAAGGTATCTTCTATTTTGTAGCTCCTCAGGCAATCCAGGCCAGTGCCACAGATACACTCAAGCTTTGCTCCCGTGAAGACTTCCTAATGCTAAGGAAGAAGATGGCAGGACAGGTGCTATGTATACTTTTTTCACTGGGGTGAAGGGAAGAATGGCTTGGTAACTCACCCAGTTACACAAATATGTGATGCTCTTGTGGGAAGGGGATCTTTTCTACAGCTACCTTAATGATTATGAGACATCAAAGAGCAAAATCTTTCCAGTTCCCATACCAGATTTCTTGCTCCTTTTTTTCCCAGTTGCTAAGCAAAGCCCACATTTTTGTCCAAGATCTTGCAATGAACACCCATACCCCACTCTGGATTTCTGATTTCTGGTACTTCCTTCTTCTGTTCCCTATGTCTAACACCATTTCTATTTAAGACAGTGTTTACATGGTGACATCCCAAAAATGTTGAGGAAGAAGGCTATCATACTATCATCCGAGCAACCTGTCTTTGTCTTTAAATTGAAAGTGTCTGGGGAGGACTCATTCACATTCATATTCATCCCCTACAGATATACCCAGTGATGGAGAAAGAAGCCCGCACACGTCGGGCTCTCATCATCTGTAACACGGAGTTTAACTGGCTCCCTCAACGGAATGGGTCTGAATATGACATCAAAGGCATGAGTGACCTTCTTGAGGGTCTGGGTTACAGGGTAGATGTTGAAGAGAATCTCACAGCTTTGGTAAGTATAGAGGCAAGCCCTTTCATGCTCCAAAAGTTATAGAAAATCCCTGTCCCAGGAAATGCAGAAGTTTATTCCAAGGGCCAAGTGAACTCAGATTTGCACCCAGAGAGTTCAGCTTCATTGAATATACCATTTTACAGAAGGAAGTTAATAAATCTTTACTTTGGATAGTCTTTTGTGGATTTGATGAGACAACTCTCCTCCCCCGACACTTCCCTAAAGTGCTGATTTTGGAATGTTTCCTTAAAATGTAGCTTGAACCTTCCTTTCAGTTCAAAACATCCATTTTACCCCTAAGATACAGCTGTTCTGAGTGTTCATATTACCAGTTTCTTTGACTATACGTTCTTAGATCAGCCAATCTAGACTTTCTATTAGGAAATGGAGTCAGTGCTGCAGCGATTTGCCTCCTGTCCAGACCACCAGACATCTGATAGTACTTTTCTGATACTCATGTCTCATGGTGTGCCAAGTGGCATCTGTGGGAAGGATTACAGAAAGGAAGCCTCCCAGATTCTTCCTGTTAACAGGATCTTCCAAATTTTCAACACTTCCAACTGTCCCAGTTTGAAGGACAAGCCCAAGATTATCATCATTCAGGCTTGCCGAGGGGGTGAGTATGGATGGGTCTTAGTGCAGAGTATAATCATTCAAGGCGCTTCATCTTCTGTAAGATAATCTGCACATCTCAATTATTATAGACTTCAACTGTGATGGAAAAATACACAATGCCACCAATAGATATGCTTTTCTATGGAAATTCCTTTAGTGTCCTGATACTCATCCTGGTAATAGGTTTGGTGAGTTCAGGAGCAGTTGCCTAGATCATTTGAAATGTCCTCATCTACCACTTCTTGGTAATGAGTGTCAGTCATTCCCCTTTTGTCACCTTGGCTGTCTAAAAAGCCAAGAGAGGTGGTATGGTTTAATGGAGAGAGTGGTGGACCTGGATTCAGGAAGTCTTTGGTTTAAATTAAGGGGCAGTGGAATGATCAGTGAATTTGGCATAAGAGGATCCAGATTCAAATCAAATTCTATACAAAGCCATCTCATTTAGGAAATGGTTATAACTCCTAAGGCAGAGTTGAGTTTACTCTTGTAGTATCAGGGAAAGAGTACTGATTCTGGAGCCAGAAGACTTCATTCTAAATCCTGCCTCTGATACTATGTGACTGTGAGCAAGCTTAAACTTTTTGGGTCCTAGTTAATTCCAATTTTAAAACAAATGTGTTGTTCTAAACTGTCTCTGAGTTCCTGTAGATCTTGCCTTTGACACACAACCATGCTAGTTTATTAAAATCTCAATGCTGCTGTTTCTTATTCTATAAAATTGGAGAGATGTAGCACTTGTTGTGAGACTTCAATGAAGTAATATATGTAAAATATTTTGCAATGCTGAAAGTGCTATAGAAAAGTTACTATTACTATGATCTTGAGAAAATCCATATCAACTGTAGAAGAAATGTGTTCTAAGGGGGGGTTGCGTGTGTGTGTGTATATGAGAGAGAGAGAGAGAGAGAGAGAGAGAGAGAGAGAGAGAGAGAGAGAAAGAGAGAGAGAGAGAGGGAGAGAGAGAGAAGGTATAAGAATTGTTAGTGCCAGATGCTAGCTCAACATTTGAGGATGCTTGTCTCTGTTCAATGTATATTAACCCCAAATCTCATGTTTCTGCAGAGAATTCAGGTATTGTTTGGGTCAGTGATTCGGAAGTACCCTCTGCAGAGAGCTGTACCCAGGACATCTTTGAAAGTGATGCTCTCTGTAGGGCCCATGTGGAGAAGGACTTCATTGCTTTCTGCTCATCAACTCCAAGTAAATGGCTCCTGGGCAAGAATTTTGTAATAAGGGCCTCCCAGTGCATAATCTCCACTCATCTAGTGCAAAATGGAAGAAGAAGCCATGTTTGTTAGGGATTTGGTGGAGGATCATATGATAAATGTAGGATTCTTGGTTTTTCTAGCCCTTTTCCAGAAAACCTCATTGATTTTTTCCAGTTAAATTTTATGTACATTTTCCCATACACATTCTTCTATCACTGTCATTCAGTAAGGCTTACTGACTCACAACTTATTGTTTATAAAACACCTTCCTATATGGCAAAGCTCTTAAACGTAAAATAATTTGCAATTTGTGTAGGCAAAAAATAGATATCAGCAAATTAAAAAACAAGCAGGATGACAATTTTGGAAAGACAGATTAATCAAGTTTATAGTATATTTATTAAGAAGAAAAGCAAAGAAAGCCTTGTCAAATGGAATTAGAGAAGTGTTCCTATATATAACCATAAGGACTATGGCTTGGTGTAGAGTAAGAGGGGGAAGAGGTTATAGGCTCATGTGCCAAGGTTGCTGCATTTCCTAACATCTCATTCCCAAATATATTCTTCTGGAGAACAGAGTGCCTCTTTTGAGAAAGAAGAAATTGTAATTTGTAGTGAAAAAAGGCCAATAAGAAAGCTATATTATTGAAGAAATTGTCCTTGGGGCAAGAAGAACTAGCCTAATGCCATTTATTCATTCATTCATTTACCTATTATTAAGCTTCTACTATACTTCTTTTTCTGGAAGTTGCCTATTTGATTCTCCTTCTTCATTATGACAAGGCACAAAAGGTCCCTAGCTTATAGAATCTAGTGCCAGCTTAATTTAGGCTCTCTTTACATCTAGCTTGGACTATTGTAATGCGTTCCTAACAAGTGTCTCCATTCTCTCTCTTTCCAATGAATCCTTTACACAGCTCATCAGTTGCTCCTCATTTTTATCACTTGTACCCAGAACAAGATCTTGTAGGTAGCAAGCACTTAATCAATGCTTCCTTAATCAAATTTCCTAAAAGGCAAAAGACATTGACCCTTAGCCTTGCCTTTAAGGCTCTCCGAAATGTTTGCTATGGAGCATTTGGCCCTAATTTCACTCCATGCCTCTTTTTTGCCCTTTCATCTTCTAGATAAGCTAAACAAATAGTACTCTGATATCATCTTCCCTCCTTTCCTGTATTGCCACTGTTGAAATACTTATACTGTTTCAGAACTCACTTTAAGTGGCAATTCCTCTGGGAAACCTTCTTTAATCACCTTTCCCCAGGTGAAAATATTCTCTCCCTTTATAGCAATTTTATTAAATCTCTTCTTTGCCCTTATTATATGCTACCTTTTTACTTCCTTAAGTTAGTTTGTATCTAATCTTCTCTTTTGGATTGTAAATGCCTTGAAGAAAGGAAATGCTTTATTTTTCATCTTTGAAATGTCTTGTATATATCAGATGTCTAATGCCTGAAAAATTGAATTCAATTCCCAGATAATATGTCTTGGAGAAACATCCACAAGGGCTCTCTCTTCATTATCCAATTAATTCATTACTTCAGAGAGTATGCTTGTTGCAATCACCTGTATGATATTTTCTGCAAGGTAAGATAATCAACACATCGTAGGCTTTTATCTTAGTGCTTTACAAGCCCATTTCTGTCCCTCTTTATTCTCCATTTTGCCCTTCTGCCTTGTTAAGCTGTGAAGGTCATTCCTAAGCTGGAAGACCTAGGTCAGACGCAGCCTGACCTGTCATAAATCACAATAGCCACGGGCCAATCAGTTCTTCATCTTCTCTTCCTGTCCTATAGCAACCTGTATCAGTGGTCAACAATTTCGGGCAAGAATCGAGGACAACTTCAGCTCCTCTCTTCTCCTGGGAGGCTAGCAAATGGGAAGGGAGATTTGTTTGGCATCATATTTTCCTTGGTTCTGGTACTTAGGAACATTTTTTTTTCACAAAACTTATCTCTTTTTGTTTAGGTCCAGAATTCATTTGAGACCCCAAAGTTGAGTGTGCAAATGCCAACCATTGAAAGAACAACATTAACAAAGTATTTCTATCTTTTCCCGGGCAATTAAAACTAGTAGGCATCAGCAACAGTGGCGGTTGCAGCTCAGGTAAATTACACTAATGTAGGAGGTATAACATTTTCCATCTTCAGGTCTAATTTGAATAACAGAAAGAAGTGCAAAATGGCAGTAGTTTTGGTGAATAATGTATAACTTTCTCCTTGGATCCTTTTTTAACTCTTAACATGTCCTTGCCCTGACTGTATAAATGGAGAAGGTGATGATCAGGCCAATAGAAGCCTAGCCAGAGCATTCTTTTGTCCTGGATGATAATAGTGCTTCAGAGTTCTTCTCTTGTTTTGATCTTGAATATACTCATATTAATGATATTGCAGTAGAAGGACCATTTTTAGGACTGAAAGTTAACTTATGACACCCTTACTATGAAGTCAGTTATACCTTTTATTATAGCAAGTACCAGTCATATCTCTTTTCCTAAATTGTACCCCATAGCATTTCAATGCAAGGGTATTCCTCTATCTGAGCATGTTGAGATAGAACTTGGTGTTTTTGGTAGGTTTCCAATTCAGATTATTCTGGGTCTTTCTTCCCATTAATTTGATTAGTAAATATTGGGGGATATCTAGGAATCATGCTTTTGTGGCTATGTCCTTTACTACAAGGGTTGGGCCTGGGCTAAGGATTAACTGTGGTAGCACCCTTTTTCATGTTGTATTTCTTTCTTTTCTCTAGGAAGTTACAGGTGACGGAATACTTATATAACTTCTTCCTCTTTTTCATCATGGGGATTGTTGACATCATATTGTCTGATTTTTCTTTAAACAGTCCGATAAATACAAAACCAAATAATTTGTCAGCCTTTTGGGTTCTTTACTAGGTAAAAGCATTTCGCCCAGGAGAGATTTCCAAGAATGTTCAGCAGTTGTCTGAGCAAGACGGTGGTACAGAATATTCTAGCTTTCCTAGTATAATACTATTGAATTTAATTCAGTAACTGTTTATGAGCAGCTGCTCCCTACTCAGCCCCTGGTTATGGACTATGGAAGATACAAGAGAAGTGGAAAACTCAGTCCCTGCCTTTTAGGAGCTTATGGTTTTGTTGAAGATATAAGATATATACACAAAAACCAAATAAAGAAGATTACAAAATCCTTCCTCTGCTGTTCGCCACTTTACAGTCAATCTGAATTCTCTCATTTTACAAATGAGAAAAAATGATTTGCTCAAAATCACACAATAACAACCTCTCTGGGACATTTTTTCTTTATCTGTTACCTGAGAGGGTTCAATTTGTTGATCTCGAAAATCCCTTTCAGATCTGCTCAGAAAATCAGCTATGCTCAGAAGTGCTTCTGTGTACAGTATTGTAAATTCACTACATTCAGTACTGTGTGCCTGGCACGCAGCAAGTCCTTAAAAAATGCTTGTTGTAAATGAGTCACTAACAGCTTCCTCAAAAGAATGCTATGTAGCAGGTTCCATTATTATTCCCATTTTATAAGTGAGAAAATAAAGTCATTCTGTATTGTTTCTGAAACAATCCTTTTTAGGGATATCTTATGATTTATTTTCCTAGTTATTATAGGGAAACAGGTTTAAAATAATATGATAAATGGGAAAATTTCAAGATTCTTTGAAAATGAATCCTTATCTTTAATGAATACGTGAATGTAGTTTGGACTAACCTTTCTTATCTCTGTCTTTCTTGTGCTGGCTTATCCTGTAGTTCTTGTACCTAAAACAAAAACCTTAATCAGTCTACTCCAGGTTGAAGGCTAGTTGCTGGCTCATACATAGTCTGAAGAATATTTGGTTTAGCAAGGCTGCCAGCATGTGGCAGTTTGGGAATAATGGTGAAAGTGCTGGATTAATCATCCAAGAATCTGGTTTCAAAAATTTGTGGTCTCTTTCTTACTACCTGAGAGATTTTGACCAAGTCCTTTTATCTCATTGAAATTTAATTTTCTCATTGTAAAATTAGGTGGCTGTAGTAGATCTCTTCTCAGCTCCTTTCCAACTGTAAATCTTATGGTAGAATTTTTAGGTCCTTCTAATACCTGTTCCCTAATTTTCTGAACTGGTGGTCTGAAGACCATTGCTGACAAAGACATTTTCTTAAAAAGGCCACCCCCCCCAAAAAAAAACACTGGAAACTCTGGGAATCACATCATTCTCGAGGCCATATCTTTGAGGTCACATCCTACACCCTACCTGGTGATTTCTATGCCTCCAAGCACTTGCAGCTTTGACCTTTTCTGGCTTCCTGTATTCAAATGATATTTCTCTAGCTATACCCACAGACTGGTAGCATCATGTAAGAAGAGCAGGGCTAAAGCTTAAAGTGAACTAAATTTGGTTCTAGACAAGAATAAAAGTTTTTTTTTCTATACGTATCTATCTGTCTGTTTTAGCTATGTGTTGTACAACAGAAGGATGAAAGAAGATATAGGACTAAAGATAAATGTACATGAAAGAGATTGATAATTGATAAAAAGAAGTCAGAACTATTGGTGATTTTTGTTTTCATTTTCTCTGTCAACAAGAATTATCTTCAGGATGCAAAAGATTACACAAACATGGTCAAAAGGAATTTGAAATCTAAAATAAGTGAGAAGATAAAACTATCTGGTTGCCTTTGATGAATTCAGTTAATCAGGTTTTGAAGAATTATTATATGTAACAGTATAATAAAATAAATGGTGGGTATAATTGTTGATCTTTGAAAAATCATGTAGAAAAAGAGAAGGGCAATTACTATTTTACTTTTCAAAAGAAGATAAAGTGTGGAATCTTTGAAATATGGGCTGGTGACTATGATTTTGATCCCTGCTAATATTCTAGAATTCATTGAAAGGAAGATTTATAAAAATGTGAAAGACAAATAATCATAACTAACAACCAGCCCAATGGTTTCACAAAGAACAGGTAATGGCAGATGACTACCCTCATATCCATTATTCATAGGGTTACCACACTGATATATCTAGTAGACTTAGTATATTGAAAGGGAATACTTAGGCTATTAGCAAAACATTAACAGTTTTCATTGTGGACAACATGGAGAGATGCAGCATAGCAGATCGCAAAATAGATGCATTCAGAACTGATAGAATGGCTCTCTGCAAAGAGTTACAAGGAAAGAGGGGACAAGTATTGAACTTTTATTAGGCAAACTATGAAATTCAAATGATTGCAGTTGAAAGGAAAACAGTAACTCAAAATTCAAGCAAAAAGGGTTGCAATAAACTCTGCTTTCTCACTTAACCCTTTTTGCCTTAGTTTCATCATCTGTAAAATAGCTGGTGAAGGAAATGGCAAAACACTCCAGTGTCTTTACCAAGAAAACTGCAAAAGGGGTCACAAAGAATCTGATACAACTGAAGAATGACTAAAAAACAGCAACAAACTTTACTTAATATGAATGTTTCTACAAAGGAAGGAAAATTCTCCAGATGTGGGATTCAGGATCAGGTTCAGTATACAATAAATAATAAACCTGCTTCCATATGAGGGCTTTGTCCATCATTTGGTTTTACTTCTATATTATAAAAGGTCATACAGATAGAAACTTAAATATTTGGGACTAAATCCAAATCTTCTTATTTCAACTCCAGGATCTTTCTGCTATACTACACTTTCATATTCTCACCCCATCCCTAAATAATAAAAAATTTCCCTCTTGCTCACATGTCACAAATCTATCTCTAATGATAACCAAGGACTGCAAGAAGGGAATCTCTGATTGTTCTATGACCTTCCAAAGTTGAAATTAAACAGATTTTCTCAATGCACAATTCTAATGTAAGTAAAATTTTTCTCACTATTTCATACATACTACTTTCTGTCACATAAATCCTTTTGGAAATCTATCTATTCACCATCTTTTGTAAACACAATATTATTTAAAGCATTCTCTTCATGAATTTAATTCCCCAGTGTTATAATCTGAAGGGGTAAGCAGTGAATGAGAAAGCAGTATCTCATTATCTTCCAAAAGATAGGAATAACTTGGAATAGGTCCTGTTCAGAAAAGCCTGAACAATAGCTCCCTTATAACTTCTGAATTTGTCTGGAATTATGAGCTATCATAGGAGGAAGTAGTAACATTAACAAAAACAACAATGACAAAACTTGCTCATATTTATGTTATAGAAGTTTTCTTACCTCTAAACTATGAATTAGGTAGTTTTGTGTAAGCATACTAAATTTACACATAAGCCTTGCATCAGAGTCTCTCAGGTTACAAAAGGCCCAAATATCCTTTGGGGAATTTTCTCTTTCTTTTGATTTATAGTTCCCACCAAAGAAGTTTGAGAAAAAGTAAGTATGGTCCTATCTAATGTGGTAAGATTTATTTTCCACTTGCAGATATACATTTTACTCTGTGTGTGTGTGTGTGTGTGTGTGTGTGTGTGTGTGTGTGTGTGGTGGGGGGAGGATGGAGGAAGCAGAAGTGGAGTCCAGACCTATGATTTCTTCAAAGTGGGAAATTCCCTCTTATGGCAACTCTGGAAAGGAAAGAGCATTGATAAAACATTTCTTAGAAAACTATGGAGAAATTAAAAAAAAAGTTCAGAAGGAGACGAACAAATAGATAAAATCTGTCACTACTTAAATCTTATATGCACTTAAAAAACTATATGGCAGAAATGCATGGTTTTATGTGCAATATTTTTTTTGGCTCTTTATATATTGAAATGTTTAGGTTTATTGGTGATTAAGTCTATAATATAATATAAAGTAATAAAAAAGACTCTTACTACCAATGCAGACCAGTAAGTAATCCTTAATTTATAGTCTTTGAAAGTTCTCTGGGGCACTGAGATGTTAGGCGAATTGCCTATCGTCAAAGATATATAGTATGTGTCACAGTTAGGACCTCAGGTTTTCCCTGATTCTAATTCCAACTCCCTCTCCATGGCACCACATGGTTTCTCAGAATTATACAGAAGGAAATTTAAAGAGAGGAAAGACAAACATAGGTCTTGAAGTGAATGACCATTAGTGCCAAACATGGATATAAACCTCTAGAGTCACAATATCAAATAATCATCCCTCATAAGTATTATTGCCACTATTGCCTCTCTCATGCAGGAGAAGGGAAAGGGAGAAAAAGTTCCATAATTAGGACTGACAGGACCACAGCAGTAAGGGGAAGAGGTGTGCCAAATGAATCTTGGGATGTTTCTTGAGCATCCATGATCAGCAAGATTGGGATTGAAGGGATGCTTCTCGAGAAACACAAGAAAAAGCAGAGACTGACATAAGCAGTGCACTAGTCAAGAACATTAAGATGGAACGGAATTCAAAAGGAATCCTGGTAATTCCAGACCAAGCCAAGAGGTTTCACTACACTCCAGTATATCCTGAGAGGGTAGAAGATCTCAATTCTGTCCTGTGAAAACACACTGAAAGGAGTCAAGGAACTAATTAACTGTTTCTTCCCATTTCCTCCTCCACCCACCCCACCCCCACCCATTACACTGAGGGATAATTTCCTCACCCTTTCCTAAGTTTTGTTGGAAGATTTCTATTCCATCCTTTTATCTAGGAAGATTTAGAAAGATTTGTACTCATTTGTGTATGGGTTCAGAGAATGACTACTACTTTATTCTTTCCCTTGTTATTTACATACACAGTTAATTATTTGCCATTGTATTAATACCTCTGGACTGGACTGGTAATAGACTGTGGTGTAGTGGATCAGCTCAGGCTGTGATTTACATAAATGATTACCTTAATCAGTCACACTGAAACAGGAGAAATAGCCAGGGGCTCCAGCACCAAAGTTATCTAAAGACTTCTAGTATTTTATGTTCATATATCTTGAAATGAACATGCACCACATATCTTGCAACCTCAGTTTTCTTCATCTGTAAAATTTTTGTTGAAGTAGATGATTTCTAAGATCCCTTTTTTCCTCTTCATGCTATGATTTTATAAAAAAAAAATCACTTAATTTCCCTACCAACTTAAATGGGAGGCAGAAGGTGAAAATATCTTAGCACTTATACACATAAGGAAAGTGAGGCTTGTAAAGGATAACCTTTATTATTATTTATTATCAAACAGCCAATATGATCTAGACATTTTGAACTCATTTAGGACTCTTTTTGCCATGCAATATTATGTATTAAGCAAAGATGTGACCAGGAGGTGAGACTAAATGTTGTCTTTGGAGATCCTGTACCTAGGACAGACTTTCCCCTGACATTGGAGGTCAGCTAAGTGGTACAGTGGATAAAGCTCTAGTCTTGCAGTCAGGAAGATGTGAGTTCAAATTTGGATTTAGATACTAGTTATGTGACCTCTGAGTAAGTCATTTAAGCCCTGCCTCAGTTTTCTCAACTGCGAAATTGGGGTAATAATAGCTTCTAACTCACAGGGTCGTTTTTAGTATCAAATGAGATAAATAATATTTGTGAAGCTCTGGCACATAGCAGGCTCTCATTAAATACTTGTTCCCTTCAATATCTATATCTATATCTATATCTATATCTATATCTGTATCTGTATCTGTATCTGTATCTGTATCTGTATCTATCTCTATCTATCTATCTATCTATCTATCTATCTATCTATCTATCTATCTATCTATCTATCTGTCTATCTATCTATCTATCATCCTGTCCAACTGCAAAATTTTAAAGATGATAAAAACTGAGGTTGCGAGATATATGGTGCACATTCATTTCAAGGTATATGAACAAAAAATACTCAAAGTCTTTAGGTTACTCTGGCTCTGGAGCCCCTAGCTATTTTTCCCAAGTCCAGTGTGAGTTGGTAATGTAATCACTTACACAGATCACAACCTGAGCTGATCCAATACATCACGGTCTCTTACTGGACCAGGCAAGGGGTATTAGTTCAATAGCAAACATTTAAGTGAGTGTGTAAACAGCCAGGAAGAGAATAAAATAGTAGTCATTCTCTGCCTTTCTGAAGAAAGAGAGTTTGGGAGGGGAGAAAGAATTGGGAGACTGAGACAAAGTTCTAGACAGAAACAAAGAAGTAAAATATTAAAAAAAAAAAAAAGGGAAGGCAAAAGGAGAGAAAGAAAAAAAGAGGGAGGAAGAGTATTAGAGAAAGGGAGGGAGTAGGAGGGAGGTAAACAGAAAGTGAAAGGGTGAAAGAAGGGGGTGGAGATGACAGAACCTGCAAGAACTTTGACAAAATCAGAAGGAATTTCCTGGCAAAAGCAATAGTTTCTCAACTGACCATCATCCCCTCCTCTTCCTAGAGGAAGTTCTTAGTAACTTTCGATATCCTTTGACTAAATTGCTTTCAGACCTGGCGTGAAGTAGAACAAGGGGAGCAAATCTGAGCGGTCATGGCTGGTAAGTAAGGGGACTTTAACCGGCTGTAAGTTCAGATCCTGGGGCAAGGCCCCTCAGGATCTTATACCCCACTCTATTTCTCCTTGATTTCACTTTGAAGGAGGAAGAAAATCAGGGAGGGAGATAGCACGGAGCTCTCTGAGACAAATTGTTTTCATTTCACTCTGCACTTCCTTGATCTAAATGGGCCTCTGTTCTTAGAGACTGGTGAAGATGAACCAAGGCCTGCTGAAAACCAGGGAGAGGCTAATTCCCATCTCCCAGCTTCGGTGAAACAAAAAGGAGAGGGGGGCTGGGATTGGTTATCGCTGCCTTGAGGACATTCTTGGGCTTTCACTCCAAATTTTCAAATGCTTTTCTGTTTTCATCGTATTAGTCTCCTCTTCAAAGAATTTCACCAACACTGTTGCTCATCATATAAAATCTAATTTCTTTTACCTTTTGAGACTCTCCACATTCTGCTACCAACCTGCCAAATGAAATTGTCTCTCTCTTCTCCCACAGGAATATAACATCATATAGTGTTTTCTAATAAACAAACAATTGCTCCCTCCCCAACAGTGTCATTCTGCTTTATTCAGACTGGTCTCCTGATTGACCTGTTCTCAATCTAACTCTCATATGGCCTTATGTCTGCTGCTGTCATATGTTTGCAGTTCTCAGTACTTTCCTTTCTGACTATAAATTGGTCTGGTTTTTCAAGGCCTAACCAGATCATTTCCCACCAGCTCCATAAAACATTCCCTAACTCCATTAAAAAACAAAACAAAACAAAACCTTTTTAGTAGGATCTTAAGTACCCAAAATAGATATTTCTAGTTATATAGAAAACAAAACAAGGAATGCGATGAAACCATCAATCTCTATTTCATACCATTTATTTTTTAAAATATATAATATTCCATGTTACTTTTAAAATTGTCCTCCTTTTCTCTGTTTTTTTCCTGTATACTTCCTTCTTTTCTCTTCTGTGCATTTTAAAAATATTTCAGTGGCTCCCCCCACCTCTCTCTCTCATCCTTACTGCTACTTCTCTCTTTCCTCTTCCCCTCAATTAAAAAAAATCATTAGAACAAAAAACAAAAACTTGTAACAAACATAGTCAAGTTAAGAAAACAAAACAAAATGCTTATCGGTCATGTCTAAAAATGTATGTTTTTCTCTGCACCTTGAGTCTGTCACCTTTCAGGAGGAGGTTAACATGCTCATAGTGGGTCCTATAGGGACAAAGTTGGTCATTGCATTGATCAGAGCTCTTAAGTCTTTTGAAGTTTTTTTTTTACATTGTTCTTATGTGAATCATTCTGCTCAGTTCGTATCAGTTCATACTATCCAGAATATTCAAAAAATTATCTCTTTTGTCAACTCTCATGGTTCCAAAATATTTCATCACATTAATTACCATAGGTCATTTAGTTATTTCCCAACTGATGGGAAGTTACCTGGATTCTTATTTTTCCTGCCCCCCCTTTCCCACTTTTTTTTTTGTAAATATTTTATTCTTTCCAATTACATGTAAAGATGTTTTTTTAAGGACCTACGTGACATCCCCTTCACTGTTTCACTGCTTGCTGTTGAGATGAAGTAGCTCACTCCTTCTATGGGGAATCTTAGATCTTCAATTATTTTTAATATTGATTGACATTTTATTTGATTTGTTCTTTGTGCTTCCTATTTTTTTTCTTTTAAGCTTCTTTTCAATTAACAAATGTTTATTGTCTCCCTGCTACTCCCCTCCCACTGAAAAAAAGAAAAACAAAACCCTCAAAACAAATATGCAGTCAAGAAAAATAAATTCTGACATTAGCCATGTATGACTAACTCTATATCTGAAGTCCATCACCTCCTAGTCTAAAGAGGGGTAACATTCTTCACGAGGCTTCTGGAATTACGGCTGATCATTTCATTGATCAGAGCTATTAATTCTTTCAAAGTTTTGAAACTTTCACATCATTCTGTCCCTACATTTCTCTGAAACCATCCTTTTCATTTTGATATTCTATTACATTCTTGTAATTCTTTAACCATTCTACAGCTGATGGATACATCAAAAAACAATCACCATTTTTTTGGTACATATGTACTTTTTTCTGCTTTTTTGATCTCTTTCATGTAAAGAACTAGTAGTACTATTGTGTCAGGATATGTCAAAGTTACAGTTTAGGAACTTTGGGGGCATAGTTCCAAACTACTTTCCAGAAGCAATTCACATCTCTCTCTCTCTCTTTTTCTTTCTTTCTTTCTTTCTTTGGCAGTTGGGGTTAAGTGACTTGCCCAGGGTCACACAGCTACTAAGTGTTAAGTGTCTGAGGCCCGATTTGAACTCAGGTCCTCCTGACTCCAAGGTTGGAGTTCTATCCACTGCACCTCCTAGCTGCCCCTCATATCTCTTTCAACAGTATATTAACATACCTCTTTTTTATTTTCCCTCCAATGTTTGTCAGTCATGTCCCTTTTATTTATGGTAAACTTTTCCTATCAGAGGAGTGTGAGGTAGTACCTCAGAATTGCTTTAATTTGTATTTTGCTTCTTATCAGTGATTTTGAGCATTTTTAATTTGGCTATTGATAGCTCATATTTCTTCTTTCAAAAAATGGCCTACTCATATTATTTGTATGCCATTCTTATCATGACAGCTCTTTATGATGGGATTATTATGTTTATTATTTTGCTTTTTCTTTTCTCATTTTTTCCAGCCTTACTTTCTGATTTAAAATTTTTAGTTTCTTCTTAAAGTTCTGCTTCTCCTTCCTCAGTATATGGCATGTTATGTTTTTCTAGCATCTCAGGAACAGCACAGACTTTAGAGTTGAAAGCTTATAGTGCAGTGCACCCAGAGTGGTCTAATCCTGGGCAATGTATGAGTGTGCCTTCCTGATCTGAGCTCAGTAAGCTCCTGACCTGGACTTGGGTCTGAGCAACACAGTTGTGGACTTGCCTTTACATGTTCAGAGTAACAGAACTACAGGGTGCTCTTCAGGTGGATCTTCTTGTCCTGGTTATTCTACTTCAGGCTTCAGACAGGGCTTGGGGCTGTATCTGAGATCTATTCCATTTCCCATTGTCAAAGTCACATAGTTACTGATTGCTTCATTATTTTCTCCTTGCTTAGTGTATAGTTTAGGGATGTTTTATGCCTCCTTGCTTTAGAGACTAAATCTCTTAGCTACAGGCTTCTTCCTCAATCCCACACTGGATTTGTGACAAAACTAGGCAGTGAGCCACCTATTATGTGCTAAGCATTGTAGATATAAATATAAGGAAAGAAACAATGCTGATTCTCAAGAAGCTTACATCATAATGGGAAGACAACAGAACAACTAAAAGAAAATAAATACTAATGAATACGAAGTAGTTTAATTAAAGGTTTGGAAAGGAGGGCTTTAGCAGCTCTAGGAATCAGAAAGATTTCAGAAGGTGGTGCTTGAGCTGTGTAGCTGTGTGTTGAAGGAAGAGAGGACCTTCATGTAGTGGAGTTCAATAGGGAGTGCATAGCAGGTGTGGGATGACCAAAGTGGAGGGACAGAAATAAGGAAATGGAGTGTCATATGTGAAGAACAGAGACAAGGACAATTTTGTTAGAATGAAGAATGAGAAAGAGGGGAATAATGTCCAATGAGACTTGAAAGATAAATGAAAGATAAGTAATAAAGGGCTTTTTTCCAAAATGTTTTATTAATTTATTTTGAATTTTCAACAATCACTTCCATAAGCTTTTGAGTTTTAAATTTTTCTCCCCCTCCCTCCCTACCACCCTTCCCAAGATGGCGTGCAATCTAATATAGTCTATACATATACATTCCTATTAAGCATATTTTCACATTAATGATGTTGCAAGTAAGAATTAGAAGCCATAGGAGGAACCACCAGAAAGAGTAAACAAAACACAACAGAAGAAAAAAAATAGCAAATAGTATGCTTCGATCTGCATTCAAACTCCATACTTCTTTTCTTTGGATGTGGATAGCATTTTCCATCATGAAGCTTTTGGAGATGTCTTAGATCCATCTTGTATTGCTGAGAGGGGTTAAGTCTTTCAAAGTCAGTCATCACTCAATGTGGCTGCTGCTGTGTACAACATTTCCTGGTTCTGATCACTTCATTCAGCATCAAACCATGCAAGTCTTTCCAGGTTTATCTGAAGTCTGCCTGTTCATTATTTCTTATAGCACAATACTATTCCATTACATTCATATATCACATTCACAATTATGATTACTATCTGTGTCTTTCTCTCTATCCTTTCCCCCATTTATGCTTTTCTTTCTCCTTTCCCTCCTCACTAATGTTTTGCTTCTGACCACCGCCTCCCTCAGTCCCACCTCCCCTCTATTAGCCGCCTTCCCCTTTTCCCTTCTAACTGATTATGTTATTCCCTTCTTGAGCCATATCTGATAAGAGTAAAGTTCAAACAATCTCTCTCCCTTGTTTCCCTCTGCTGGTGTAGGATTTTTTGCCTTTTCCTGTGATGTAATTTACCCTTGTCTGCCTCCTCCTTTCCTTTTCTCTCAGTACATTTTCTTAGTTAGATCAGATTAATTGACTTACTTGGATCCATTTAACCCACTTGATTAAATTTTTTTCATCATTACATCAAAATCAATTTATACCCATCCCCTTTACCCCTTTAACATAGTGTAATAACAATACAGTTCTCAAGAGTTACAAGTGTCATCTTCCCTTGTAGGAATGTAAACAGTTTGCCCTTATTAACAATATATTGTATCTTTCTGCCCCATTTACCTTTTTATGTCTCTCTTGAGTCTTGTATTTGAATATCAAATTTTCTGTTGAGTTCTGGTCTTTTTATCAGGAAGGTATGGAAGGCCCCCATTTCACTGAATATCCATCTCTTCCCCCGAAAGATCATGCTCATTTTCACTGAGTAGTTGATCCTTGGTTGTAATCCAAGCTCTTTTGCCTTATGGAATATCATATTCCATGCCCTAAGGTCTTTTAATGTGTCTTGTGTAATCTTGACTATAGTTCCATGATATTTAAATGGTTTCTTTCTGGCTGCTTGCACTATTTTCTTTTTGAACTGGTAATTTTGGAATTTGGCTACTGTATTCCTTGGTGTTTTCAATTTGGGATCTCTTTCAGGAGGTGATTGGTGGATTCTTTCTATGGCTATTTTACCTTCTGGTTCAAGGACCTCAGGGCAGTTTCCTTTATGATTTCATGAAAGATACTGTCCATGCTCTTTTTTTCACCATGATTTTCAGGTAGACTAATAATTTTTAAATTGTCTCTCCTGGATCGATTTTCAAGGTCAGTTGTTTTACCAATAAGATATTTTACATTTTCATCTATTTTTTCATTCTTTTGTTTTTGTTTGACTGATTCTTGCTCTCTCATAGAGTCATTAGCTTCCATTTGCTCAATTCTAATTTTTAACACATTATTCTCTTCTATTAAATTTTGTACTTCCTTCCGCAATTGGCCAATTGTATTTTTTAGGGACTTGTTTTCTACAGTTAATTTTTATCCTTCCTTTTCCAAGATCTGACTCTCTCTTGCATACCTCTCATTTCTTTTCCCATTTTTTTCTTCTACCTCTCTCATTTGACTTTTAAAATCCTTCTTGAGCTCTTCTAAGAAGGCTTTTTGGGCTTCAGACCAGTTCATATTCCCTTTTGAGGTTCCAGATGTAGGTTTGTTGACAATGTTGTCCTCTTTAGAATTTCTGCCTCGATCTTCACTTTTCCCATAATAAGAATCTATCATGTGTTTCTTTTTGCTCATGGTGTTGGCTTATTTCCTGGCCTTTGAAGAGATTGGGCTCTCTTGCTGGGGAGCAGAGGGCACTGAACCAAGCTTCTTGTGTTGGGAGCCAAGGGCCTGGTATATGACTTTGTGTGCTGGGGCCTCCAATGTTGGCAGCTGGAGGCTGTAGGATTCTGGCAGCTTACCTGGTATTGGGCTGGAATCAGGAACACTGGAACGCTAGGGGTAGGATTAGGTAGCGTGGCTTCTGGAGATTTCCTGTTCATCCAGGCCTTTCATTCCTTTTGCTTTCTTCAGCTCCCTTCAGATGGATGTTGTACAGTGTTTATCCATGTGGGGCCCTTTGGAGCACTGCTTCCCTTAGTTTTGCTGAGGCAGTGGGAGACCTGGTTGCTGTAGAATGCCGAGGCACCTGGTGGTTTTCTGAGTTGGTTTCCACCATTTCCCAGGCCCTCAATGAGGCACTCAGGGATCCAGGTGTTGGTGCTTGCCTGCTCCACCACCTGGGCTTCAGGACCTCCTCCTGGTATGCTGAGGTGGGGCTTTCTGCTAGCTTGCTGGGACACTTCCCATTCTGTACTGTTCCCCTTCCCCCAGGGTATGAGGGGCCTTTCCTGTTAATCCCTCAAGCTACCTGGGCTACTGGACTGCTGCCCCTCATCTTTCTTTTGGTTCAGCTGTTCCAGGGTTTTTCCTGAGGTGATATTTTCTGGACTTTCAGGGGTTAATAAGGGAGGGTAAGAGAGACTCACCTCTTACTCCACCATCTTGGATCTCAGAAGAATAAAGGGCTTTAATAACTTAAAAAAAACCCAACACTATTTCTATTTATCCTAGAGGCAATAAGGAGTCTCTGTAGTTTATAGAGTAAGAGATTGACGTGGTCAGATCTGCACTTCTAGAAAATTACTTTGATAGCAAGTGAAAAAATCAGGGATTTGATGTAGAGAAATCCATTGGGAGTTCATTGCAATAGGCTAGGTTAGAGGGCCTGAACTAAGGTGCTAACTACATGAATAGAGAGAAGGTATTGCATTTCAGAGATGTAGTGTAGAAATGGTGAAATATGACAACTGATAAGATATGTAGGGTAAAGGAGAATGAATAGTTGAAGATATTGAAAAGTTATACATATGGAATCCTAGAAGGATAGTAGTATCTGATAGAAATAAAGAAGTTTGGAAGAGGGGAAGGTTAGGGGATAAGTTAATTCAGCTTCAGACTTGGTGATTTTGAGATATTTCTTTTGAACTCTTATTCCTTTAAATGCCTCTGCTATAGTTAATGGAAAACAAAAAAACTTATCTAGTCTAACACCTCTCTCTCCCCATTTTACATATTTAGGAAAAAGAGGCCTACAGAGGTTGTGGCTTGCTGAGGCTCACACAGTTTGTAAATAGTAAGACAATAGCAAGTAAATAGCAGACCTAGCATTGAACCTAGATAGGGATTATCTTTTATATCATAGTAGTCTCACCAGTGCTAGACCCCAAAGCCCTCTGATATATCAGAAGAAAGAAACAAACAAAAACCCCACTACTGTAAGCATTCAAAGATCTGATTTCTTATCTCAGCTCTGCCAGTAAAATACTAAATAATCTCATGTAAATCATTAACAAGTTCTACGGTTCAGTTTACCCATCCAATACTATGCTATAGTCATTATAGTAGAGGACAAAAAAATCACAAAACATGAATTTGAATTATATCTCTTATCCTTTCTAGATTTGTGCTACTTTGGTTAAGCCATTTAACCTGTAAGCCTCATTTTCTTCATATGTAAATTGAAGGTAATTTTTTTATTCTACCTACCTCATAGGGTAGTTATAAGGTTGGGCTTTATAAACCCTAAAATGCATATAAATGTAAAGTTATTTTTCACAGGGCTGTTGTGAAGATAAAAGAGATATTTGATGTCAAAATGCTTAAAAAAAAGTAATATCTCTGGAAAAAAAATATGAGACAAATGTGGTGGTACAATAGTTCCATAAACATTGATTATAGAAAGGGGGCAGCTAGGTGGCGCAGTGGATACAGCACTGGCCCTGAAGTCAGGAGGACCTGAGTTCAAATCTGGCCTCAGACCAAACACTTCACACTTATTAGCTGTGTGACCCTGGGCAAGTCACTTAACCGCAATTGCCTAAAAAAAAAAGAAAAAAAAACATTGGTTACAGAAACATGGTACAATGGAAAGATTGATGAATTTGGAGTTTGAGGTTGTGGTTGTTTAGTAATGTCTGACTCTTTGTGACCTTATTTAGAGTTTTCTTGGCAAGATACTGCCATAATTTGCCATTTTCTCTTCCAGCTCACTTTACAAATCAGGAAACTAAGGCAAACAGGGTTAAGTGACTTGCTTAGGGTCACACAGCTGGTTAAGTGTCTGAGACTAGATTTGCACTCAGGTCTTTCTGACTCCAGGTCTTGGGCTCTATTCACCGTGCCATCCAGCTGCCCTAAAGTTTGATGCCCTGAATTCAAGTCCTGACTCGTTATGTACAGCTGTATGACTTCAAGCAAGTCCCTCAACTTCTCTGGGCCTCTGTTTCATCATTTATCAAATGAGGTTGTTAGACCTCTAAGGTCTCTTACAATTCTAAATCTGTGATCCCATAGTTTTAATAGATGGTCACACTGGGGTCTTGTTCTTGAGGCCAATTTGACAAATGTATGATCTTTGATCACTTACTTGTCCTTAGTATCTTCCTACACTGTCACATCCTGATTCTCCACATACATTTGTCACTTGCCTTACAATAAACATCAAGGAATCTGTGATGACCATACTGTTTAACTCGTAGACCCTGTCTTTTGACAACATTGGTAAGTTCCCTGTCTCATGAAAAACCCATGAAGACTCAGAGAATTGCATTCATTACTTTGTTCCTGGACTGTCATAATAGCTTTTTAACTCATGCTCCTGCTCCAAATCCATTGTCTTTTCTTTTATGCATCTGTTAGACTAATTTTAGTTAGTTATGGCTCTGATCATATCATTCTTTTGATGAAAAATCTTTTAAATAATGTTGTTAATTAATTTTCTTTTTTTTACAATGAATATCTGAATTATCAAAAATCATAGAAATTCTCACATACAAAGAAATGAGCTTGTCAGATCCCTGCCCTTACCAGCCTGTCACATCCATGAGGCCAGGGAAAAGAACACTGGATTTATAATCAGAGGAACTGGATTCAGGATCCATTCTTACCACATGAGTGACTTTGGGGAAGAAATCAAGCATTCTCATTTAAAGTGAGAGAGTTGGACTAAATCTTTAAGGTCCCTTACAGCTCCAAAAATATATCATCCTATGAAGTCATTTAAATTTTGTACCTCTTGAAGCATCTAGCTTAATGCTCTACACATAGTAGGTTATTAATATATTCATGGAATTGAATTATTTGGGAGAGTTACTTAGAACAATTCCTAAGTACTTTGGAGGACTGTGTGGGTCCACATGGGGCACTGCAGTGGAGGGTGGCAGAGAGAGAAGTTTTAAAAAGCACATTGTACTGTGACACAGTTCTTGGCACATAGTAAGTCATAAATAAATATTTATTGATTGATTGGAAGTTAATGAAAAGTGAATAAGGAAAAAGGAGAAGAGTCCTGAAGGAGGAGAAGGAGAAAACCAAAATTAGATTTTCCTGTTGACTGTCATTTTATAAAATAACCAAACATTGTTTTAAGTGAGTGAATAAGAGCATGGAACTGAGAGAAAAAGGTTCTGAGAGGCTAAAAAAGAAAGATTTAAAAGGCAAAGGGTGTTGGACACTACGGAGTTAAAGCAGACCTCAGCGATCACAGCCTGTTGGGAACTTTCTCTAAAATTAAGGGAGCGGGTGTATCCCATTTCCATGATTGAAGGGATATCTTTGCTTTCAACAGATAAAGATACCAAGAAAAATCCATTAAAGGCTTTTGAATTACTGGGAAAGGACATAATCAACAGTTTTTTGGATGATTTGCTGGAAAAGAATATACTGAAGTTGGAGGAAGATGAAGAAGAGAAGTACCGTGAAGCTCAAGCTGAAGCCAAAGCTGAAAAGAAAGCGAAGGTCCTGATAAATTCTTTGACTCGGACAGCCCGCTCCGCAGGGCAAGTGTTGGCCAAAAGCCTGCTTAACAAAGATGAACAGGATGACAGTGATGAGGAGTCACTACCTGCTGGTAAGATTACTGCCTCAGTTGAAAGGAATGCCTAAATAATTTCTGAAATGACTCACTTCCCTATCTTTCCAGTTTGCAAAACAAAGCTACCTAACTCATTCATTTGTCAACTATTATCCCTAAGACTGGGCTTTGTGTTCCACTTATTTCTCAACATCAGCCCAACATTCTGTCCCTCTGCCCTTTATTTTCTTGCCTAGGTGAATGTTGGTGCTTCTTAGGAGAAGGGATTGGCTACTGTGGAAATAATTTGTATTATCCCATTTAGTCTTCCTCAATGTTCAGGCTATTAGATTTTAGATGTCAAAGTCCTTATATCCCTGATTCTGTTCTTTAAGATTAACGGTTAAGATCTAGGAGACACCAGGAGCGTTTACCATTCCCCATTCTATTCCTTCCCCCTTCAAGCTTTTATTCCCGGGTGATGTATAATATAAAGGCCTTGCATTCCTGAGTCACAATCTGTTCACGGTTTTGATATGTGCATTGGTGTGTGGACCCAGAAATTAAAGTGATGCTCAGATGAGGCCTTATTCTGCTGGATCCCATTCTTTATTATAACAGATAATACAAATGAGGCAAAATTTACTATGGGAAGAAAACTACCCTCAGGGGTGCCTTTGTTTGCATTTTTACTCAGATTCTGTAGACTAGAGAACTTTGGTCCCTAAGTGGATCTTTTGAAAACTATAGAACCATCTATTCTGTCACTTGAAGCCCTGTGGCTTCAGGTCTCAGCAGGAACCATGCTTCTCCACATAGTATGTACTCTAGTGTCTGATGATTTCCTGAATTCCATTTTCATTTTGTAGTAAATCAAGAACATCAGAGCAATAGAAGAAGGAATGAAAACAATGTGGAGCAAGGGCTAAATCAATTATGGTTTAGTGATGTAATATAACAATATTGTGCCTTTTTAAAAAAAGATAACATACAGATCTACCTGAGGTGATGGAAAGTGAAAGCAGAAAAACTAGAACTATATACACATTAAAATTATATTTTATTTTAAAAGAAAACAAAAGAAATAAATAAGTAAACTAAGCAAGGCCAAGGAATTCCATGGAATGTATGGAAGAGGACACGTGCTTATTTGCTGCATGTTAATTTTTTTCTTTTTTTCCCTGTCAAAGACTAAGTAAGGATTTTAAACGTTTTGGATTTTCAAAAATGTTTACTTGATTTTTTTCTGTTCATGATTATTGTAAATATTATATTGTATAAAGTAAGAACAACAACAACAACAAAACCGTTAAAGGAACAAAGGAATCAATTCTTTTTACTCTTGCATTCTGTATCAAGAGCCAAGAGCCTGTTGTCTTATTTACTGAAGAAGAAAAAAAAAAGGATGTTAGAAATAAAGTTGGCCTTGAGAGGATCATAGAAAGATACCTCTTCTTTCATCAAGGCTATCCTTATCCTCCTAGCTAGAAATAATTTCTTTTCCCTCAAATCTCTCATCCAACTTTATTTAGCCTCTTTCAGTCACTTTATCATATTATGACCTATATTGTCCAGTAGAAGATAAGTTCCTTGAAGACAGGGGCTGGTTTTGTCTTTGAATCTCCAGTTTCTAACACAGCGTTTGGTTTCTAACAGGAGTTTAATAAATGTTTACTGTATGAATGGATGAACTATCACTTATGAGTATCTACATTTTCTCAGGCATAGTGTTTTGGTAGCAAAACAAAGCTAAAATTAAAACAGTTTACATTGTATTGAGAGGAAACAGGATGTGAATATAGAATTAAATGCGAAATATATTCCAGTGAATATAAAGTAATTATTTAAGAGACACTTGCTTCTGAGGGGATTATAGTTATGTGTCCACAGGTTTTGTACTCCCATTCAATTATAAAGTGATTGAGGAAGGAACTGTCTTCTTTTCATGGTATCCCAGCATACAATTAAAAGACTTCAGCAGTCTTCTAGTCCATCCTACCTGCCTAAGAAAGCCTTTCCACACAAATGATTATCCAGCTATTGATTAAATACCTCAAGTACAGGGAAACCCCTGGACTGTCTATTAAATGGAACTGAAATCCCTCGGCAGGTCAGTCACTTCAATCCCTGCTCTTTGTTTTCTGTCAGGTTTTCCAACAGTAAAACAAACTCTACTATTTTAAGGGACCTCAGAGGTCATCTAGCCTAAATTCTAGTTTTATTGCAACCCTAGTCACTTTTCTCTGAACCCACTCCAGGTTGTCTGTGTTCTTGCTAAAATTTGACACTAAGAATTGAACAGAAGAGAGTAGATGTGTAGCCTGAACAGAACAGAATATGGCGGTTCTATTAATTGCCTCATTCTGGGCTCCATGTCTCCCTTAATGCGTCCTACGATCACATCACCTTTGGGCAGCTGCCATGTTACACTATCGATTAATGTTGAGCTGGTAACTTACTAAAAGCCCCAAACCTTTTCCACTTTAACTGTTGCTTAGCCATGACTCCCCCATTCAAGTTCTAAATAATCTAAGCTACCTGTGCACCTGTACACAAGACATTTCACCTTTCTTTGCTTTTGTCTCCTCATCTGTAAAATGTTGGGGCTGGATTAGCTGATTGTTAAAGCTCCTTCTACCTCTAAATCCTATGAATCGATTTTACAGAGAGGGAGAGGGGATAAGAACTGGTATGTGGTTTCATCTGTATGAGATCTCCCTGGTGAGGAAAATTACCTTTGCCAATATAGATCTTCATTTTTCTGCTGCTTACAGGCTTAGAGAATTGCGTAGACCAGTGAGATATTAAGTGGCAGCACAGGTTAATGCAGCTAGTTATATGTCCAAGGCAAGACTTCAATTCGGATCTTCCTTGATCTGATACATTATGTTGAAAGGAAAGAGCATACACAAAGAATTAAATACAAAACATATCCAAGTGAATATAAAGTGCTACTCTGCCTTTTGATGTTTTGCTCCTATGTTATGTTAAATTTCATTTTTAGTAATTTTGTGTTATCTTTTTAGGCATTGAGTACATTATGGGGATTTAATTTTGTCATCCAACATAATACTCTTAGTTTCAAGTATTCTGCAAATTTAGTAGACATTATATATAGGCCTTCATCTTTGCCATTAATAACAATTTTAAACATTATAGTATCAGATAGGTGAATGCAGAGGTCTTCTAAAGAATTCTTAGCACAACTAACAGTGCCTTGCATGTAGAAAGAGGCTAATAAATACATTGTTGATTGATTTTGATAGTCAGCCTGTTGCTGTTCCGTCATTTCAGTCGTGTTCAACTCTTCATGACCCCATTTGGGGTTTTCCTTGGCAAAGATACTAGAATGGTTTGCCATTTCCTTCTCCAGCTAATTTTATAGATGAGGATTTGAGGCAAACAGGATTAAATGACTTGCCCAGGGTCACCCAGCTTTTTAATAATAATAATAATATAATTAATTATATTAATTTTAATAATAATAATGTTGGATTTGAACTCAGATCCTCCTGAGTCTAGGGCTGGCACTCTATCCACTGTATCTCCTAGCTGCCTGCTAGTCCATCTACTTGAATTTATCAAACACTAACTGTGTGACAAGTGCTGTGCTAAGCATTAGTCCTTGATAGGTGCAGAAATGGCAACTAAGAGATGCTAGTGATGTAGAGTTAAATAACAAACAATAAATTTTCATTAAGCACCCACTATGTTCACCTACCGACTTCTGGGGAAGACATAGCATTCAGATTAGATATGTTCTCTCTCTTCCTAGACCTGGGAGCATAAGACATGAGCAGAGATAAGTTCTTTAGAAGCTATGTAAACTTTGAGAGGGAAAGACAGTATTGATCCATAGGATCACAGAAGACTTAATATAGGTGTCTTTTAAGTTGGACTCTAAGTGATAGAAAGAAGTTTAATATGTAAAGTTATTTTGTTATTTTGGATTGGAGGATATCTCAGGCACTGGAAAGAAGTCCCTTAGGTATGGGACAGCTAGGTGGTACAGTGGATACAGTACTGGACTTGGAGTCAGGAAAACCTGACTTGCAAGTAACTTAGTCTCTCGTTCTCAGTTTTCTTATCTATAAAATGAGGATAAAAATAGCACCTACCTTACAGGTTGTTTTATCAATGAGTTAATATGTGTAAAGTGCTTTATAAACCTAAAGCACTATATAAATATGATGATGATGATGATGATGATGATGATGATGATGATGATGATGACATGGAAATGACATGGGAGTATGATAATGTAAACAAGTTTGGATGTACTGTGGGTAGAAAGGAATAATATAAGATAAGGCTACACTGGCAAGGCAGCACTAAGTTGTAGAAGGTACTCACTTCCTAGTAAAGGAATTTGACTTTTGGTTGAGGTAATAGAGAGCCACTCAAGATTTTAAGCACCTTAGTGACTTAACCAGATCATTCCAAGGGCAAAAACTAATTGACAAGTATAGAATACTGGCAGTAGCTCCTTCCTATAAGTTAGTAACTGTGCTTCTGAACCAAGAACAACCATTGATTCTGACAACTTCTGCGTTCACTGGGTATTTCAAAAAGAGCAACCACTGAGTCACATCTCTTTTTTTTTTTTAATGGACAAGAACAAGAAGAAGGGAACTTAGGGTGAGAGAGCTAGAGAGAAAACTCTTGAGGAACCTAGAATGTGAAACATCTGCCATGAAATCTGAAAAGGGAGAGGATGGGGCTGGAGTTAAGATTATCTCCACAGTTCCCAGAACACAACTCCATAGAATCTTGTTTGCTCTATAAACGGCCATAATTTCTCTGGGTGTTTTCTGAAGAAACAAAAGTTCCTATGACTACAGCTTAGACAGTTCTGCGTGTCACACCTGGTACCTCACTAACTCTCATTAGCTCTTCTCTTCATCCACAATGATTTCACTATTTTGGTCATGATTTAGATTCAATTTTTAACCTTTGGTTTAAGAAATCTTTGAAAGGATGATCTCTGCTTGATACATATGTTGGCCATCTTCTATAATCTTCAACTAGGACAACAATTAGGCCGGAAGATCAATTTGATTTCCAAGACAATCAATGTTATTACTAATATTTTTATCTTTTCCAGCTTCTGCAGCAAGCCGGGCCATGTCAGCTAAGCCCATGGGTACACTAAAGCTTTGCTCTCCAGAAGATTTCCAAAGGCAGAGGAAAGAGAGGGAAGCAGAGGTACTAGGCAATTTTTAAAAATAAATTCTATTTCTTTTAAGTTCTAAGTATTTATTTTCTTTTAGAAAGAAAAAGAAGAAAAAACCTTAACAACAGACATACATGGTCAAGCCAAACAAATTCCTGCATTGGCCACATCCAAAGATGAATGTCTCAGAATGTATTTTGAGTACATCACCATTATAAGGTGGTGGGTTGTCTGTTTTATCATCAGGACTGTGGAATTCTGATTGATCATTACATTCATCAGAGTTTTTCTAAAGCTGCCAAATCATAATCATTCGTGATGTTATAGGAAGAACTTTCTTAGATCTTTCAAAAATGACTTTAGCAAGAGGTCCCTGAGTAACCCCAAAACTATCTGCCTCTCTGCCCAGCTCCAGATCTCCTTTCTTGTTGGCCTAAAAGCCATATTCTTTTTTAATTTTTAAAATAATGTATTGGGGCAGCTAGGTGGTGCAGTGGATAGAGCACTGGCCCTGAAGTCAAGAGGACCTGAGTTCAAATCTGGCCTCAGACCAAACACTTGACACTTACTAGCTGTGTGACCCTGGGCAAGTCACTTAAACCCAAATGCCTAAAAAAAAATAAAAAAATAAAATAATGTATTCAATTTTAGTTTTCAGCGCTCACTTTCTAAAATGCATATTCCTAAAGCCATTCATTCAGTATGCAATCACATGCATGCACTGATCACCTACCACACATATGGATGGCTCTATGCTTGGTACAAAGAACTCAATCGAATTTTACATCTAATTTTATGAATCCCTTCTCTAAAGTGTTTGGAATTTAGTTGGGAGAGAAGGCAGAGAAGACATATACAGAATGAAGAATTTAAATAGCAAATAGTTAAGTAATAGCATGATGCAATAAACTGTATTGTTTCAAACACATATTTTCTGTCCCATCCCCAATATGACTTGTATAAAACCTGAGTTTGGTTTGTAATCACATTATTTTTTACATATAAACTTACGTGTATCTTTTCCCCCTAACAGTGATACTTCATTATAGGGGAATGGCTTACATTTGCAGAGGGCCTATTTTCAAATAAATTTAGTAAATGTAAGTGCCCCACTGATAGAGATAACAAATGGTCAAAGCCCAGAAAAGAGGCAAAACAGAAACTGAGGAAGGACTTGTAATGCAAGTGGGACTTGATCTAGATCTGGAGCCAAGGATTATATTTAAATTGGGAGGCAGCCAGAGAAAGAATATTCTAATTTCACGCTTCATAGAAAATTGATATTTACACCTACTATTCTAATACACACATGGATAATATATACACACATATATACAAGTATATATGCAAGTTTATATATGTATATATATTTATATCTATATAAGTGTGTGTATAAATGTATACATGTATACATACACACTATGAGTAACCTAGTGTGTGGAATAGGTGGGTATGTGTGTATATACATAGTTTTTAATCTCTCACATAAATACTTAAATATGCAAATATATGTATCTATTTTTCTATTTACATGCTTGTGTCTATATCTATAGCTATCTCCACATCATTAAAATCTATATCTATAAAGGCATATGTGTGTGTATGTCTATGTGTATGTATGTATGTGTGTATGCATGTATGTGTGTATACACACACACACACACTCATACACTCACACATATCTCAGGCCTATACCAATTTTCCACACTAATTGCTTTCTTTCATAAACAATGTCCATGAGAAAGAAAGAATGAAGTATTGTCTTCTTGCAAGACACAGGGGAAAGGACAATGGATATAGTCACCCTGATTCCCTAAGTATGAACACTTGTTTAGGCTGTGAAGGGGAAAGGAGAGTGACTTCATCAGCTTACCCTACCTTTGTTCTTTGCAGATATATCCGGTGAAGGAGAAGGAAGGCCGTACAAGATTGGCTCTCATCATCTGTAACATAGAATTTGAACATCTCTCTGAGAGGACCGGGGCTGAACTTGACATTGAAAGGATGAAAATCCTTCTTGAAGAGCTAGGATACAGTGTGACTACTATAAAGAACCTCACATCTTTGGTAAGAGCCAGAGGTAAGCCCCTTACCCCTCTTAGCAGATCCTAGACTCTTGATCTGGGTATCACCAGGATGGTTTAATTGTCTTACCAAAAATTTAACTGATTCCACCATGGGGATTCTTGGAATTTTAATTGTGCACAATTCACATTGACAGTGCATGGTTCAGCACATCAATGGACTATTTTACCCTCTTCAGAGAGTTGGCATCCTCTGTCTTTGATAACTCTATTCACATTCCCTTTCAAAAAGCCACTCTCTGAGTCTGTAAGGATAATAGTATTTATACAGAACTTGAGAGAGGAAACTGATGTGTAGCAAGGTAAATTGCCTACTCAAGGGTGAAGAGATAGTATGTTTCCTCTGATTCTAAATATTTCTATATAACTAGAAAGCCATGATTATAGGAGATTTTTATTTATAGAGTTATTTGGGTGATGTTCTCTCCCCTGTTTCTAATATTGCAACCTGAAATATCTGCATGTCCCTGGGTAAACTTGGCTACTTAGTGCATTTTTTTAATGTGTCCTAAATACCTTTCCTGTAAAATAGCAGACTCTGTACTCTCATTTTGAGATCACTAAGCCATGCCCCATGCCCATCATCTATTCTCCCCGTCAATCTCCATTTTATTAAAATAACCAGATTCCAGATATATAAGTATAATAGGAAGGAATGATCTGGGTGACCTTTGTTTTTTAGATCTAGAGTAAAGGAGTTCAGAAGTCATAGGTAAAAGTCTCAATAATCTGATACAGGAGGTTAGAATCTACCAGTGCAGTGAATTTGAATGACTGTGATGGCTTTTCACTTACTACCTCTTTGATTTTGGTTATGTCACTAAGCATCTTTGGCCCCTTATGTGTCAAATAAGTTGGTGGGACTAGGTGACCTCTAATTTCCCTACTAGCTCTAAATCTACTATTCTGTATGATAGAGGAGCTTTCCCAAAGTCACAAGGGAGTAAATGTAGAGGTTTGCCAATTATTTGGCACAGGAAATACTTTTTATGTATAAGATTCATTTTTTATATCAGTAGTTATGCTTATGTGTCCTAATGATACTAGGCAGACTCAGAAAATTCATCCTTGACCAAATGAACCAAATTAATCTAGCTTCCGCATCTTCAGTTAATTTTCTTTCAGATGAATGCTGGACTTCACACCAAATTCATGAGCTTCATTGCTCTCTTTTGTTGTGTTCTCAATTTGGTAGTTTTTTTTTTTAATTTGATAGGTTTTTTAAGAATGGATATTACTCCAAGGGAACATAGACAAATTATAGTTCTTAATGATCACATTTTGATGACTGTTAGAAATATTTTAGCAGTTATTTAGGTGGCTTTGAAGAATCATTCAAATCCACTATGAAACATGATTAGTTAAAACATGGCAGAAAGAAAAAAATAATACAAATTTGAAATGAATGAAAAAAGTAACATATTGCTGCAAAGCAGGCTAATTAATCCACAGAAAGCAATAAAGATTTTTAGAAGGACCTGAAATACAGGACAGTAGTTAGCAATTACCCTTGCTTGGATTTTTTTTTGTCATTTAAAAAAAATTGTGTGCTTTCAGTTTTCAACATTCACTTCCCTAGGATTTTGCATTTTAAATTTTCTCCTCTTCCCATTTCTTCTCCCCATCCTAAGACAGCAAACATTCCAATATAGGTTCTACATATGCATTAATGTTAAGCATATTTTTCCATCAGTCATGATGTAAAGAACAATTTGAAGTAATGGGAGGAACCATGAGAATGAAAGAATAAAACAAAATAACAAAGGAAAAGGACATCAAATGATATGCTTCCATCTGCATTCAGACACCCTAGTTCTTTCTCTGGAGGTGGATAGCAATTTCCATCATTAATCTTTTGGAGTTGCCTTAGATTCTTGTGTTGCTGTGAAGAGCCAAGTGCATCAAAGTCAGTCATCCCATAATATGGCTGTTATTGTATACAATGTTACCTGGTTCTGCTCATTTCACTCTGCATCAGCTCATGTAAGTCCAAGTTTTTTTGAATTCTACCTGTTCATCATTTCTTATACCATAATAATATTCCATTATATTCATATACCACAACTTGTTCAGCCATTCCCCAATTGATGGGCATCCCTTCAATTTCTAATACTTTGCTACTACAAAAAGAGCTGCTATAAATAATTTTATACATATGGGTCCTTTTCCCATTTTTATGATCTCTTTGGCATATAGTCCTAGAAGTGCTGTTGCTGGGTCAAAGGGTATGCACATTTTTATAGCCCTTTGGTCATAGCCCCCAATTGCCCTTCAAAATGATTGGATCATTTCACATCTCCACCAACAATGCATTAGTGTTCCAATTTTCCTACATTTTTTCCAACATTTATCAGTGTCTGTTTTGTCATGTTAGCCAATCTAATAGGTGTGATGTGGTACCTCAGAGTTATTTTGATTTGCATTTCTCTAATCAATAGTGATTTAGAACATTTTTTCATATGACTATAGATAGCTTTAATTTCTTCTTCTTAGAACTGCATGTTCATATCCTTTTTTCCACTTATCAATTGGGGAATGACATATTCTTATAAATTTGACTTAGTTGTCTAAATATTTTAGAAGTGAGGCTTTTATCAGAGACGAGGTTTTATGTTGCTTGGACTTTTTGATGTTGAAAGTAAAACAGTTAAGGGGCAGCTAGGTGGTGTAGTAGATAGAGCACTGGCCCTGGAGTCAGGAGGACCTGAGTTCAAATCCATCCTCAGACACATAACACTCACGAGCTGTGTGACCCTGGGCAAGTCACTTAACCCCATTGCCTAGCCAAAAAAACCCCCCAAAAAACGTAAAACAGTTAAAACAAATTAACTAACAATTGCTTTGAGAAAAAAATAATGTTATGACCAAGACAATGCAAAGATTAGAGTACTAAAGATTGAAAAAAAGATCATTTTTTATTAAAGGAATTAACTTACTGAAGATGGTGGAGTAAAGAAAGGGACTAACTTGAACTCTTCCAGTTCCCCATCCAAGTGCAGGCCACATTCCAGCAAGCCAGCAGTAGGTCTTAGGGGAACTCAGTCAGTAGTGGCAGTTTCTGGAGCTTTCAGACCTCCCAGGTCAAGCAGCCTGAAAAAAAAAAAAAAACCACAATTCAAATGTTGTGGAGCCACAGTCAGGATAATAAAAGATTTAGTAACTTCATATTAAAGGATCAAAGGGCTTATAATATAATATTCTGGAAGGCAAAGGAGCCAGGATTACACCCAAGGACTGCCTACACAGCAAAAGTGAGTGAAATCTATCAAAGGAAAAAAAATGGGTATTTAATGAAATAGATGGTTTTAAACATTCCTGATGAAAAGAACAGAGCTCAATAGAAAATTTGACTTTCAAATAGAAGAATCAAGAGAAGCATAGAAAAGTAAATAGGAAAGAGAAATAAGTAATTCAACAAAGTCAAACTATTTACATTCCGACATGGGAAGATGATTATTTTAATTCTAAGAACTTTATCATTAGGCAATTCAAAGCAGTATACATAGACACAGGGCATTAGTGTTAGTTGACTATTATGGGATATTATCTAAAAAAATAACATTAGGAGGTGAGAAAGAGGAACCCATTGGAAGAAAGGAGTAGAATGAGGTCTCATATTAAAGAGATATGTTTTTACAATGGAGGGGAAGATGGGGTTAGGGCGCCAGATAATACTTGAACCTTACTCTCATCAGAATTAGCTGAAAGGAGGAAGAACATATATACTCAGGTGGGGAAATCTATCTTACACTACAGGGAAGTAGGAGGGAAAGGGAAGAAGAAAAATGGGGAGTTTATAGAAGGGAAGGTGGATTGGGTGAGGCTGTAGTCAGAATCAAAACACTTTTTAAGTAGTAACAGGGTAAAAGGAGAGTGAATGAAGAATAAATGGGTAAATAGGATGCAGGGAAATATACAGTAATCATAACTGGGAAAAATTTTATTGCAATTTTATCTGATAAAGGAATCATTTCTCAAATAAATAGAGAACTGAGCCAAATTCATTAAGAATACAAGTCATTCTCTAATTAATAGTTGGTCAAAGGATATGAACAGATAGACTTCAGACAAAGAAATCCAAGCTATCTGTAATCATGAAAAATTGCTCTAAATCACTATTGATTACAGAAATGCAAATTAAAACAACTCTCAGGTGCTATCTCACATTTATCAAATTAACTAATATGACATAAAGAGAAAATGACAAATATTGGAAGGGAAGTGGAAAATTTGGGACACTAAAGCACCATTTGTGGAGCCATCACTGAATCAATCATTCTGGAAAGCAATTAAGAACTATGCCCAAAGGGCTATAAAACCATGCATACCCTTTGACTCAGCAGTACTAGTACTAGGTATACATCCCAACGAGATCAAAAAAGAGGAAAAGGTCTTCTATGTGAAAAATATTTACAGCAGCTTGTTTTGTTATGGCAAAGAATTGGAAATTGAGTGGATGCCCATAGATTGGGGAATGGCTAAGCAAGTTGTGGTATTTCATTGTGATGAAATACTATTGTGCTATAAGAAATGACCAGCTGGATGCTTTCAGAAATATTTGGAAAGACTTACATGAACCGATGCAAGCTGGGATGAGCAGAACTAGGAAAATGTCATACACAGTAAAAGTGATATTGTATAATAATCAACTGTGAATGACTTAGCCATAGTCAGTACTACAATGATGTGAGATAATTCCAAAGCACTTATGAAGAAAATGTTATTCACCTCCAGAGAAAGAACTGATAGAGTCTGAATACAGATTGAAGCAAACTTTTTTTTAACTTTCTTTTTTCTCTTTTTTGGTCTGTGTTTTCTTTCACAACATGACTGGAAATATGTTTTGCATGACTCCACACGTATAACCCATATCAAATTGCTTGCCTTCTCAAGGAGGGAGGGAGATAATTTGGAAGTCAAAATTTAAAAAAAAATAAAAAATAAAATTAATTACATTAATTTTTTTTTAAAATTTAGAAAAGA